AAAGCAATATTACAGATAGAGGATATTTTAGATGGAAGCAAAGGTCAGAATATAAAAAACAATTTAATGTTGGATTTGTTTTTTTACAAACATGCAGCTTTTAAGACGTTCACTTATGGACTGGAGTGGTGTGCATTACTGTGATGTTTTTATCAGCTGTTTGGACTCTCATTCTGACGGCACCCATTCACTGCAGAGGACCCGTGAGCGAGTGATATAATGCTACATTTCTCCAAATCTGTTCTGATGATAAACAAACTCATCTGCATCTTGGATGGCCTGCCCTGAGGATGAGTAAACATTCAGCAAATTTTCATTTCTGGGTGAACTATGCCTTTAAGCATCTTGCAAATTGCTGGTGATTTGCATAAACTGTCTAGAGAAGCATTGTCATTGAAATTGAAACCAAAGGAGCAGTGAGTATTAGCTGGCTCCATAGCTCAGTGGTTAGAGCACTGGTCTTGTAAACCAGGGGTCACGATCCTGGCCGGGGCCTGTGTGTAAATGCGAACATTTAGCTTAAAACCTATAAAACATTCAAATAAAAACAAATACTATTTGCACATCTATCATAACACTACTGTAGTACTCAACCTGAATGCTTCCTCCTTCGGATTATAATCTGTAAACTGCACTGAATGTATCCAAATATTTCAGATATAAACTAATTTAAAATATATTACTGTTCGAAAAGTTTGGGGTCCGTAAGATTAATTATTTTGGGAAGAATTATCTTATGCTCACCAAGGCTGCATTTTTTGATCAGAAATACAGTAAACATTGTGAAAAAAAAATCACAATTTCTATTTGAATTTATTTTCAAATGTAATTTATTCTTGTGCTGCAAAGCAGATTTTTTTGCATCATTACTCCAGTCTTCAGTGTCACATGATCCTTCAGAATTCTAATATTCTGATTTAGAAACATTTCTATTATCAATGGTGAAAACAGTTGTGCTGCTTCATGTTTTTGTGGAAACCATTTTTTTTTTTTACAAAATTCAAAAGAACAGCATTTATTTGAAATAGAAATATTTTGTAACATTATCAATGTCTTTACTGTCACTTTTTCGATCAATTAATGCCCCGTCCACACGGAGACGCGTTTAGCTGTATACGCATACATTTTGTATCGTATAGGCATTTCGTCCAGACCGATCCAGTTTTGGGAGAGTGAAACCAATATTTTTTTAAACCGGGTCCCAGCGGATAAATCTGAAAACGACGCCCTTGTGTTTTCGTGTGGACAGCGAATCCGTATATATTTTCTGAAACTATGATGTCCTCACATCTCTCCCCTAGTCAGACACCGCTACGTCACGTAACATGAACAAACACTGTTTGTTCATATGACGCCCATTTTCCACAAGTTGATATGATTATTTAGGGTCTTAATGAAAAGTATGTAACATAGGTTGGTTAAAATTTCTCAATGGTAGTGTAAAAAACACCTTTTTTACCCTGTCAAAAACAGCTGTTTTCAGATCAAGCCGTTTTTGTAGCAGTTTCCTTTAAATGTTAATGAGCTCTGCTGGCCCCGCCCCTCTCTTCCGAGCTGCTCTCAGAGAGACTGTTTACTTTAGACGCATTCATCGTGAATCTTGCTAATTAGCACATTATTAGGAAAGGTGATTTTGCAAAGATTCATTACAAAACATTATACTCACTTCTTCTGTAGATGAGGCTGGATCATGAATGATTCGCGCAAACATAGATGCATTTATGTAGATCTGGGGCATATTCCGTTCAGAAACAAATGTAATCCACTGCGAGTTCAGCGGCTCAGATGTCGGGAGTAAATGAGGACTGCTATGTTCATTATTACATCCAACAACAGAAGGCCTCAATCGCTTAGGAGTCATTCTTGTCTACATCTGCTCCGGCGGTGAAACAATGGCGGACTGATGACAGCTCACTCAGGGCGGAGCTAAGGTAA